TTATCAAAGATAATTTTCCCATATTTGCTTATAACAGAGCTGATATCTGCTGTATTTCGATAATTCCCACTTCACACACTCAGCTGATTAAAGTTAGAAAACATTTACCTGGAAGAAACTTCAACCTTTTATCTCTCATGTTTTATGTTTTCTTGCTTTAGACCTGGTGAATCGTGATGGTGTTTTCTGCTAAGCCTTTGATACAGACCTGGTAAAACACCTTTCAGGTTTCAGCAGTAATAACATCTGTTAGGATAGATACTGTTGTAATTCCATCTCTGCTAGAAAGAGCCCAGACTCAGACCTTTACTGTCTTTACTGTCTCTGGTGTTCAATTCTACTGTCTTCTTACTAGAATATTAACTGTCAACAACTCTTCCTACCTGAACAACCACACAGGGCGTTTTTTTCAACCCTCTGATACGACTCATCTCTTGAAATAGTGCCCCTATGAAGGCAGGCGTAATGGTCCTCGGTTGTCATGGTGACCATTGTCATGTATGTTAGTATGACAAGAGCATCTTGACCCATAGAAGATCTATAGGGAAGTGCGTAGACGTCACATGATGCAGAGGGGTATTATGGGAGTCGGGTGTTCTGGGCGCAGGAAGCTACGGGAGTGTTGATATCTATGTTACTGCCGCTGTTCCAGATTAAAGTTATAAAACTACATGTAAGCCTCCATCGCCATCTTTACAACCATAATAAACAGGATAATGGGCATGGCTTGGTTAGAGCTAGGAGAAGATGGTGATTTGGGTTAAAATAAGTACTTTCTCAACATTAGACGACTTTTGTTGTCATGGTTACAACATAAACTGCTGGTTTCACATGGGAATAATACACCACTCTCCTGTGTCATATTCATCCAGCCACCACAACCTCCTCCTGATGTGGGCTTTGTCTCTCTTTATACTACGTCACCGCACTTTTCTCTTTGCTCCTGTCATCATTACTACGACCACGAGAACAAAACCTAACCATAGGTCATTCTAACCATCTGCGGGCTCTTTTTTTTTCAGGAGGACAGACTCTTAATTGCAAATAAAAATATCAACAACAGCGAAGGTGATCAGGCTGCAAACATATAGTTTTGCAAAAATGAAAGTCCCATCAGCACTGACTGCTGCTTGTATGGATCGACGCTCTGAGAGAATCACACATGAGGTATGGGGGTTTTGGTAGCTGGACATAAAAACAATGCTGAGAGAGAAAATCAGCCTGGAACAATAAAAGTGAGGGGGGGCTTTCCCCCCAGTCCCCAGTGGAAATGATGCCCTCGCTCATATGAATCAAAAGATGGATAACGTGGAGTGTCATCATCCTCCCTGACTTCCCGCTCAGCCGACAGTTTGAATCCGGTCTGACAGAGAGGAGGACCCTGGCTGACGTGGGAGGCTTTGGTCTTAATGAGAGCTCAGTGAAATACACCACACCTTCCTGCTTCAAAGCTGCAAATCAATCCCTGCAGCAGAAAGCTCATTTCTACAGTGGGGGGGGGGGGGGGTTTAATCTTCTGTTGCAGAGCCTCCCCCCCCAACTCCCCTCGAATCTCAAAGGACTCGTCTCTGAAAGTGAAGGACCGTCTCCTCCTATTGGCTTTCATCAACTCCAAATACAGCAATGTCTTAAACGGAGAGCTTTGTGACAGTCTGAACACGGAGCTTCGCCTCGGCAGCCTGTGATTCCTCCTTCAGATCAGACAGCAGGTTTTAATTTAGACTTTGAAGTTTCAGGAAGATGGTGTCTGCAGCACAGCGCCCCTGTCTGTTTTCTATGAGTGGAGTTAAACACTTGCAGCATGGAGACATCTGTCCCCGTGCATCACACTCCACAAACGCTCCAATGAGACTGTGATGACAGGTCACAGCCTGAGACACAGACTGAGACAAATTAAAGGAAAAACCTGAAGACTGAGGAGAACCAGGACGACTGTGTCTCATCCACAGGTCACAGGGTCACTGATGGTCTGATGAGGATGAAGATAATGTGAAGGATATGTTATGACCTTCAAAGTCTCCAGTACGGTGGCCAACAAGGGCAAACATGCTGCAACGACCCAAAACACTTCCAAAAGGAGAAACAAGTTGCAAATTCATAACCGATGCAGATTCAAAAACACATACGGAAATACAAAACATTTACAACAACAGGAACGTGCTGCAGGAAGACAAAACAAAGACATGAACAGCAAACACGCTGCACACACAGAAACGCTGCAAAAACAAAAACACACACACCCTCAAAACAAATGCAACAGAAATAAACGCTGCTGCAGCGCTTAGTGGAACACCTTGACCATAAGCTTGAGCTTCGACCCGAGAGGCCAGACCAGAGGCAGCTGAGAAAGGAGACGGTTCACTTTCAATTATTTCCAGCAGCAGGTCCGAGTTTATTCATTCCAATGGGAGAAGTGAATGTGATCACAGATTATGACAGATTCCTTCGCCCCCACAGATGCCAAAATAAATATTGAATCCATTTTTCTAAGGCCACAGATCCTCCGAACATTCTGACAGCAAAATTGTATTTTTCAGACCAACAGATCAGGAAAAAATGTACTTTATTCGAGACCTGTCTCTGTCTCAGCAACAAAATCTCACGAGATCTGGCAACACAGATCTCTCCTCTCTCTGTCGGTTCTGGTTTCACTGCTGCAGCACTGCTGACGTCGCTTTCCAACCACAGAAGTTTAGAGGCACTTAGATGTGCTACGTTTCCTCCTCTCGTCCGCATGACTCTGGAGTTTTCAAGCACCGAAAATGGAGACTTTTGGAAATGCTGCTGGCCCCGTTTTATTTTGAAAACTCTGGTTGTGATTTATTCTGAAATTTATTTTGATTGCCTCTCATCAGCCTGGACTACCAGTGGTGAATACAACATGATAATGAATGACAGTGTTACTGACCTTGTTGTCTTTGCTAGCAGCGGTTTTTCACTTACATTCTCTATTTTAATGCTACAACTGTCTTTGCTGCTCCTCCTTCAGAGGATATTCTGCAGTGTAGACAATCTACTTCCTGTTTACACTGGTTCATATGCTCAGTGTATGTGATTGCTCATCTATGTATGTGTTTTTTTAGGTGTGTTAGTCTGGACAGAGATCATTTTAGTTTGAAAACGCTATTTTCAAATGAAAACGTAGTAGTGTGGACGTAGCCTTAGAGAATGGAAGACAGGATGTGGGGGGATGGCGGTTTGAGGGGGGGCTGCTGATGTTACAGGAGAGCAGTGTTTTTCTAAGCAGGTAGAGGCAGGCAGAGAGCAATGTGTTCAGGCAGAGGACGTGAAGTGTTTCTTAAACAGAAACTCTCTTCTCAATTATCATGCTGCCTAACCTGCTGCCATCACCTCAACTCCCTGAGCCGACAGAGCCAACCTGCGGAGGTCGAGCTGAGCAGATTTGTGCTGTTTCTTCCACACTGATTTGACTTTTATTTGGTCAGAAGCTTCCTTTTCTCAAAACACAATACAAATCCCAGCCTTTTGCACGCCGGTGATGGAGGGAAAAAAGTGTGTTTACATCCCTGAAAGCCTCTCAGTCAGCCAGCAGAGAGCTGCAGGAAGCTGGCAGATGCTACAGCACCAGTTCTGTCTTCATTCCCTCTGTGACTGCTCTGTCTTTATTTTCACTTTTTCTCTGGATTTGATTAAATGAAACTGTATTGATCCTTGCGCTGAAATTGGGTCATGGCAGCAGCAGCAGAAGAGACTGGGGTGTAGATGAGAACAGAATTGATCAGAGAGTGTTGAAAAACAATGAAACAGGTAAGATCAACCTTCAAGAAGGAGAAGGTTCCTGACCAGCTGCAGCTCTAAACAAAGTCAGGTAATACAGAACATGATTAATAAACTAAACTGTGTTTAGTTTGAGAGCGACTTGTTCTTTTTCAATTATTGTCAAACAGCTGTGGATTTCTTCTCTGTCCAATATTTCTTATTTACATTTACAACATGACAACCAGGATTAAACAGTCTCAGAACAAACTTTACAGTTGGAGTATTTTTTTGTTCTGTTGGTTCTGTGGGATTTGGAAGATTGTAATCACACAATATATTATTATTATTATTATTATTATTATTATTATTATTATTATTATTATTATTATTATTATTATTGACTTAAAAGGTTGTGTTTGTTTTTCTTGTTTGGGTTTTTTTCCTCTTTGGATTCATTCAATCCATAGAATGTGAATCGCTTAATAACTAAAATCTATTTAAAGCTCCATATTTTCCTTTTCTCCAGTGTTTTATTTGAAGTGTTGAACTTGGGGCTTGGCTGAGAGCTGTGACTGCTTTGTTGTGACATCACAAAGTTCCAAAAGTCCTGGAGGCTGGTTTTAAGGCTCAGTTTCTGAATACAGGCTGTGTGCATTTCTCTGTGGACTGAGGCTTTGATACTTTCACGGTATTAATACAGAACCTAGACCTGATCTATAATCAAACAACACATGGACATCTGCCTTTAGACTGTATGGAGCCTTAGAGGAAAAGACAAATATTAAATGTGAGGAGAGAGACTTGGCTGAGTGTATCGAGGTTAGCTCATTTATCATAGCTACATAAATGGCTACATGCATAAACAAATAGTGACTGAAAAATAGTTAGTTATAATAGTTATAATAAAAAGAAATGTGGATGAAATGTTCGCAGCTGTACAGGTTGGTGTAGGTGAACTTACTTAAATAACAGGTCTTCATTTAACACATTTTTCATCAGAAAAACTTCAGCATCAGATCCGTCAGTCCTTATCTCAGACTCGGTGGACTCAGACTGTTGACTGAGATTTTGGGAATCACTGTTCAGTAACAGCTTTGTGTCGTTCCCTGATGTCTGCTGTCCTGTCCTGGACCTCTGTGGACTTTCTGCCGTCAGGCTGAGCCACACAATGCTGCCACCCCCAACCACACCCCCACCAAACACTACCTAACTCGGAGGCCACACCTTTTAACAGACACATGTGCTCATTTTAAACTTCCCAGCATGCTTTGCAGTCCTACCTGAGCAGGATGAGCTTCACCTTGGAGGTGGCGCTCTTAATGATGGCCGAGGCGTTCTGGTGACTCCGCCCATACAGAATCTGATTGTTAATCTGTCAGGAAACGAGAAACGCCTTCAGTTAACTTTATTAACACAGACACAATTATACATTCACAAGAAATCAGACACATTACAGACAGAGTGAAACGTCACCACGACAACATCACTGATTTCTCAGTTTGTTGTATCAGTTCATCAGTTCATTTACCCAGGTGATGTACTTCAGCATCATTTTGAAATACTTTTACTTAACATGAGTATTTTCATTTCAGACACACACACACACACACACACACACATACACACACACACACACACACACACACTTTTAATTGAGACAGGCATTAATTGAAAGGTCATTGAACTGTGAGGCTGTAAACTAGCCAGTTAGAAGCTACCAGCACCACCAAATGTTAAATCAATATCTCATTTACACACACATACACACACACACACACACACACACACACACACACACACACACACACACACACACACACACACACACAGATAGATTTGTAAAGGAACCTTTCTTTATTCCATTTTCTTTCTCTGTGTTTTTATTCTGTTTGTACATGTCAGCTACAGGATGTGTGTGTGTGTGTGTGTGTGTGTGTATGTGTGTGTGTGTGTGTGTGTGTCTGCATTGTCCTGCATTGATTATATGGATTTTTGCACTAATGTGTCTCTATGTATCTTTCATCTATGTAAATGGCTTTCAGCATGTGTGTGTGTGTGTGTGTGTGTGTGTGTGTGTGTGTGTGTGTGTGTCATTGTGTGTTTTAGTGTGTGTTGTAATTGTCCAGGCTTTCCTCAGCTGAACATCAATTTTTCACGGACCCTGTGACACAGCTGTAATGAGGAGGAGTGGGCGAGCAAGCCACATGAGACACATGGAGAGAGGGAGAGAGAGAGAGAGTGACTGTGTTTAATATTTATATGGATGAATTGGAAATCTCCCTCCAGCTGCTCTCGTCCACACAAACACACGCACGCACACACACACACACACACACACACACACCCACACACACACACACACACACACACACACCCACACACACACACACACACACACACACACCCACACACACACACACACACACACACACACAGGTTATTGATTTTTCTGCAGATGTTGCGATGGTGTTTGTCTCATCTCCAGCTGTGACATGAGGCAGTGTTGTGTCATGTGATGTGATGTTATGTCATGTGGTTATGAGTAAATGATGTAAGTGGTGGAAACATGCTGCACTTCAGTTTATTTATATTTTCTGTTACTTTCTTCACTACATTTCAGAGGGAGACTCAGATTCTTGTAGATAAACACATGAAGACTTTATTAAATATATCCTACAGTATGTACATGATGAGCTGAAATAATTATTGATTAACTGATTAGTCGACTAACGGAAAATTCATTGGTAACCATTTTCATTATCATTTAAATGATTAGTAAGTTGAAAACGTGAGAAAACATTTCATGGCTCCAGCTTCAGAACTGTGACGATGTGATGCTTTTCCCTTCTAATCATTCTGAATATTTTCTTTTCTTTTTTTATATTTTATTGTGTCAGTTAATGTCAATGAAACAGTATATATTTCTTGTTATTTAAACTTTTTGACACAAACTTTTTGACCTTATAACTTTTTCCCCACCTCCAACAGAGAACACAGTGCATACATAAAACAATAGAGTGAGCAATAGTATAGTTATTACATATCATAATGTGTATCTCCACACCATATTTACATATATATATCTATTCTGTCACGTACCCATGTTTACATATATATATATATATATATATATACACATACATACGTACACATACATATATTCTGAGTTTGAGGTTTGGTCTGTCAGTCGGACAACACAAACACAAACAAGGTTTTTTTTTGTGTGTGAAGATTAACAAACTAAACAATCAATTGATTAATTAAAAAATAATCAGCAGATGAATCCATAATGAAAACAACTGTTGTTCAAGCCTGACATAAAACAGTAAAATGCTGCTGAGACATTAACACAGTGTCAGATCTAATCTAATGATAAAACACATAAAGCTATAAACTCTCACAGGAGCATTTCTCTGCATTAGCAGCATATACTTTCTGTATATTTACTATTTCTAATAGAGTATTTTACAGAGTGCTATTAGTACTTTGACTTCAGTAAAGGATGTGAATAATCAAATCCTCCAGACTAAATGACAGAACAGTCTCTGCCTGATAAAACACTGGTAGGAGCTTTTTCTGATCTGCTGCCTCTACAATTAAAAAGTATGTGGTGAACGCTAAAGAAAGACACTGGTCATGGTTTCTTCTCATAACTGTAAATGAACTGTTTGGACTCTGAAAGGCTGAGGTCCTTTAACTGGGATTAATCTTGACAGACTGTGTGAAAAAAAATCTTCATTGATACTGCAACAATTTCTATTTGGTCACATGCTGCATGTTCCTCAATGAATGTTTCATTTGTTTATTTGAAGGTGATAATATATGAACACAACACAGAAGCATGGTGGTGTCCATATGTTTGATGTAATGTCATGTAAAGTATTCCAAAGTAAAGTAATTGAACAGGTGATGGACAGGTCATGATTTCTCACCTCCAGCAGCTCGTCTCCGACCCGGATGCGTCCATCTCGAGCCGCCGGTCCTCCGGGATTGAGTCCCACCACAAAGATGCTGAGGCGGGAACGATCCCTGTTTCCCGCCAAGCTGAGACCCAGACCCTGACGCTCCTTGTCCAGCTCCACACACAGCAGCTCCCCCGGCAGGTCTCCATAACGCTCACACCAACGCTCTGCAGGAGCAACAGGAAGAGGAGGAGTCAGGCTCATGGTCCAAAATCCTAAAGGGGTGAGGGGCAGGTGTATATGACCAAGGAAATGTTCACTGCCAGATATGTGTAGCTCAGATATGGACTCTTTTCAAAACTGTGTCGGCCACAAATCTGCTGCAAAATGAAACACTGCACTGAAAATATCATACGGTAAACAGGATTGCAGGATTTGGTTTCTCTGAGTGTTTTACCTGAAATCTGCCATATTTTTATTAGATCGCTCAGAAAACAGTCAGCCAATCAGAAGAGAGGCTCAGAGCTTCCACCTAAACCACCATCAGGAATTCCTGTGGCATATGAGATGGAACAAGTGTTTGGAAATATAAAAAACTACAGGAGGAAAAAGAGGTGAAGGAAGAAGAGAAGGAGAGAGAAGATGGAGGTGGGTTAAGTTGAGGAGTAAAGACAAAGAGAAGCAGGTGAAGAGGAGATAAAAGAGAGAGAGAAAATAAAAAAGAAACAAAGGAGGGGGGATGAGGGAAGTGTGGAGGTAAGGAGATAAAGAAGAAAAGTGATAAGGAGAAAATTGTGACGAGGAAGGGAGGGGGGAGGAGAGAGAGAATTAGTGAGGATTTCAGAGGTGAAGGAGAAGAGGTGAGGAGATAATCATATCAGAGAGAGAGGAGGAAGAGGAGGATGAGAAGAGAAAGAGGAGACGAGCAGAGAATTAAATCTGGTGTCAAACAAAATGCTGTTTAACAGTCTGTGAAACAAACAGAGGAAACGTGAGAGAAATATGAAGGAGGTTAAAAACATCATGAGGCTGACAGAGGATTAACAGCAGGAACACAGCAGCTACATTCAGTCCGACCACAACAGTCAACATGAGCCGAACCCAAACTGAGGGATCACGTGGTCCCTGACCTTCTCCTCAAACACAAAGCTGCAGACGCCTGGTCTTTGTTCCCTGACAGCTGCTGCTCTGAAGATATGAAGGCCTGTGTGTTTCCTAACTGACGGCTGTGATGTGAACACTCGGCGTCCGCAGTAACAGGATTTAAAGGTCACTGCAGTTATCTGAGGAAAAAGCGTTCACACCGGACAGAGATAAACTGGTTTAGGTGAACAAAGTGAATCACCTCAGACTGAAGGAGACACAGAAGCAGACTCCTGCCTCCAGATAAACACAAAACACTTAAGCCATTTTCTGCTGCCATTGAGATGTGGTTTTTATTCCTCCGTGCCGGCGACAGTCAGAGCAGCAGCCATATTGTTTTTAGGTTGTCCGTCCGTCCCATTCTCGTGGACACGATATCTCAATAACACCTTGGCGGACCTTTTTCAAATTTGGCACAAACGTTCACTAGGACTCAAGGATGAACTGATTAGATTTTGGTGGTCAAAGGTCAAAGGTTAAGGTCACGGTGACCTCACAAAACATGATTTTGGCCTTGTGAAAACAAGATCTCCGCAATGCCTCACAGGAATTTCTTCAAATTTGGTAAAAATGTTAACCTGGACCCAAGAACAAACTGATTAGAATTTGGTGGCTAAAGGTCAAAGGTCAAGGTCACGGTAACCTCACAAAACATGATTTAGCCTTGTGATCGCAATATCTCGAGAACTCCTCAAGGGAATCCCTGCAAATTTGGTACAAACATTCACTTGGACTCAAGGATGAACCGATTACACTTTGGTGGTCAAAGGTCAAGGTCACGGTGACCTCACAAAGCAATCATGACAAAATTTCACACAAATGGTTCATATTTTTTATGACTCTGGATAAACAGGGATGTCACCTGAAACTAGTCTGAGTGGAGGAGGCAGACAGCCACCAGGAGGTGATTCTAACTTTAGGATATATCTGTTTATATTTTACCAGATCATCTCCATTAACAGCAGCTGAATTCACTGTGATCAGCTGCTGTCTGCAGTGTATCAAGATGTTCAGACAACTGTAACTTGATCACTGTGATACTGAAAGAAACTTAAAAACATGAAGATTCTGAATGAAGTTCTGCAGCCTCTCTTTCTATGATTTTAAGGGATTTATGGGGGTTTATCTGTGATGGACATCAGATGATGTCCTTGGAACTGAAAGTCACACTGAATCTAAAAATGTGTGTTTCATGTGTATGTGTTCAGATTGGACTGAGTTATGACTTAGTTGTTGACACAAATTGCTGGAATTGGTTGCTCAGGGTTTTAAAGCAGCCGACCTTCATGTCCTCCCTGAACAAGAGGCAAATTATCTTTGTCTCTGACGGACATCAGTGATAATGATTTGCTCAGAAAGTACCACTGAAAGTAAAAATAAATATTTCATGCCTCTCTGTGTTCACATGTGACTGGGGATGTTTGACAGCATTTAACTGAATCCAGCTCTGAATCTGTCATCAAATCTTAAATGCTCTTTTAAGATTGTTTGTTGGAATAAACTATATCACTTAGTTATATCACTAAGTGTTTATCATCTGTTAAAAGATGAAACTTGATATTTAAGAATCAAACTTCTGATCACATTAATTATTTAACTGTGACAGACAAGCTGACACTAATAGAAACTATCAGACACAAACTCTGGACGCTCTGCTGAGCAGAAAGGGTCGTAGGTCTTTCAGCTCATAGTTTATCTCTGCTCTGTGACCTTCATTAACCCTGAGAAAATAATCATCATTTAGTGAGAGTGAAAATAATATTCATTGTATTGCATCATCCAGTTAATGTCAGTGAAATGAATCGCTGCAGGAGGCTCTGAATGTTACCTGAAGGTGGACTGATGCTACAGGTCACTGTCTCTTTGTTTGCTGTCCCAATGCCTCTACCCCCCACCCCCCCACCCCAATCCCCTAAACTCGCCCTCACTGTTTACAGGCCTTTGGTTCAGATTAATGCAACAGAAAAAACTATCACTACAACATCTATTCTATTGTATGTATGTTTACATTTCGTATATGTGCATGTTTTCTAATCACTAAAAATACATTTACATGTTTACATTTTCATCAACATCATGAAACCATTATGTGAACATCAGTGACAAACACTGGGAGAGAGGAGGAGAGAGGAGGAGAGAGGAGCAGGAGATGTCATGTGAGGTGAGACAATGAAGATACAGAGAGAGAGAGATAATGATGACAAATATAAAGAGAGTGATGGAGCAAGAAACAGAGAAAGATGGAGAGATGGAGCACACACACACACACACACACACACACACACAGACACACACACACACACACACACACACACACACACACACACACACAGGCAGCTGGAGGAGGTGGAGGTGACAGCAGGACTATGTGCAGCTGAAGCACCTGCAGAGATGTACAGGTACTCTGAAGGAGAAAGACCAGACAGGTGACCGTGTCATTTCCTGTGACTCAGAGACTCGTCAGTCAGACGTGACTTCAGTCCGTGCTCAGCTGATGTTTCAGAACACCTCACCTGAATTTAAAGCCGGGAGAACGGGCTGAGGGCAGAACCTCATTTAGAAAAGAGCAGAGTCAGAAAACTAAACTGAATCAGTCTGAGAGATTCATGAAGGAACCACAGAGACGCTTCAGCAGGAAACAAGATTCACTTTGACTCAGACAGAAAATTAAAGACGAGTTGAACAGAGACAAAGAAGAAACAGTCCAGAGAGTCTGTGGTCGTCAGGTGGGCATACTACAGGTAATGAAATCATCTATCAGTGTCACACACACACACACACACACACACACACACACACACACACACACACACACACACACACACACACACACAGTGTTGTATTGTCTGACATATAATCAATTTCAATTTGGAGATTTTTTTATCTAATCAACAAAAATAATCACTTTCTGGATGTTCCAAAATAAAAGCCCAACAAGAAGGGATTATTCCCTCTGAGCCTTTCCCCAAAACAATCAATCATATAGGACTTTTCATACAAACAATGTAGCACAATGTGCTTTACAGAATAAAAGCAATAAAAAACAAAAATAGTCTCAGCAGTCTGTCCCGACCGGGAATGTGTGACATAAAGTCCAAACGCCTGGGCCCGTATTCACAATGCATCTTAAGGCTAAAAGTAGCTCCTAACTTGCCGATATAAAAGTAATGGGCCTGTCAGTCCTAACTTTAGGACTCCTCATTTTTTTGACTAAGAGTAATTCACAAAGCAGAGTCACACTCAGGAGTTTTCATTTTTCCTTACCAAAAGTTAAAAACTGGCTAGAAATGAGCTTCTGACAGGCACACATAACGCTGACAAATGCATGCTGGGTAACAGATGTTGTGAGAGCTGTGCCTTTAAGGACACACCCCCTACAATGCATATACACACACACACACACACACACACACACACACACACACACACACACACACACACACACACACCCAAGAAGGACGCATGAATGGCTGATTTAAAAAACCAACATAGCGCATACTCACAATCTGACACACACAGAAGAAGTGTCTGTTGCTAACCTACAAACCCCTGACAGCGTGTGTCAGGCTGCCGTCCTCATCACCCCTTCACTCATCAGGCCATTTATTCGCTAACCCTCCGTTCATCTCCCTGGAAGACTTCCCACAGCCCACAGGATGATATTCATACTGAATCTGAATATGCTGATGCAGCCAACACTGCTGCTGCCAGTGCCATGATGTCAGGAAGTGCAGAGAGAGTTTGAATTAACAGCTAATTAATTACAACAGGGGCAGGTCAGAAAACAAGCGAGACTCTCACCAACACATTGTCAAATATAAAACAGGAGAAACTACAAATACTCATCTCCTCATCCTTCCTCAAAGAGGGGAGAGAGGAGGAGGAGAGGAGGAGGAGAGGAGGAGGGACACAGACATCACTGCTCCTCACACAGTCTGCAGGCCACAGAGACAGTATGATAAATGACACACACGTCAGTCTGCGAGTGTGTAGAAGAACAAACATCTGGTTCTCTGTGTGTAGAGGGCACAACACCTGGTTTGGAGGTCATCAGCTAAAAAAATGTTATTCCAGGTAATACTGC